CCCAATACAACACTACCGCAACAAATAACGGTTTGAACAGAAGTCAAATAACTTTTGCCAACCCCGCTGTTAGTGGACGGTGTCTAAATTTGAAAACATGCCTCTAAAGGGTTCATTATCTTCGGAGGTGAATATCTTAGACTGCGACTGGTACACCTTTTTTCACCTCGCGAAATGACTGTATAAGATCAAGCGTCTCAAACAGCCTCTTTGCAGACTGTATTCACGTGGTGGTGGTATTCCCCCACCAAAGTGAGAGGACAAACAGGCAACATCCGGAGCCATAACCGAGTTGGTGCTTCATCAGTAGATCATCTAGGGGAGCTGACAAAACACCCAATTGCAAACCAACTAGAAAGATACATACAAAACAGCCGTACTTGTCTGGCTCTGGCAGTGGTCACCGACTTGATTCGGGATCACACAGACAGACAGCTTTGGCGACAAGGCTTCGGGAAGACGAAGGTTCAGGGCGTGAGTGTCAAAAAAGTTTCTCTTGGTTCGGCCTGGACACCTTGACAGTATATCCCACGATAAATTCACGAATTGATTAATTGTACCACCACTCACCTAGCACACAATATGGCTGCACATGAGTGAAATATAATACAACAGTGTGCATGGCATGGATGAAGATAGACAGAGAAATCATCACTGATAAACCAGTACTCGCTCGTGCACTGAATAACTAGTACTTAGTGCCGTTTGTGGTTGAGATAGGTAGGACGTAGTTTATGTTAAACTTGATTTCACCTATGTCAGACAAGAAGGATTCTACAACAATAGGAAGCATCTAATAACATTGAAGATCAAAGCCTGGGAAGCAAATTGAAAGAATATTTATCTCCATGAAAGCAACATACCTTAGGTTCCATTATATCCAACTCGCGGCCCAGAGACAGAAAGTGTTCAGACAGTCGCGTATTCCACAACATTTCCGTGAGATCCTCATCAGTCATATTTTCATCATCCGGTAAAACAACACCTTGTTTACCAAGAAGATATGCCAATTGACGCTGGACCGAGGCACCAGCTTTGGAAGCGTCCGAAAAGATTTCTTGGATAGTATCCATGTTGTTCAGTCGTAGTGCACAGCGCATCGCATTGCCCAGATCGTCAAACTTTCTGTACAATGTGGTTGCACATTTCAATACCTAAACGAAAAGTAAAAGTATAAAAACAATCAACAACTCCAAAGCATTATCAAGTAGAAGAACCAGATTGTAAAGGAAGAAATTCGGACCACGAAGCACAAGAAATCGAACTGAATGTAGCGCAAAGCCGTTTGATGTGCAATTCAATTGACTTCAAGGACAAAATCGACTTCAAAACTTGACACGGTAGCATCACTCCCTGGCATTTGAAAAGCCCAAAACGGACATTTCCAAAAGAAGAGTTGGAAAAGATTACTCGTACGCCTTGATAAGGCAAACTAAACTCGCAGCAAGTGGTGCATTTAAATTACAGGGAATGATGCGATAGAAATTGTGCACCACAACTGCGATCCGTTTATACCAACAGCCGAGGCCGGGTTCGACACGGAAAGCGGCGTTTGTCAGGGTTGGTCTATTTCTAAATAATTTTGCAATTGATATGATATCCTCATGCGAGAATAATGGGAAGTTATATTGTGTGGAGTATGCAGAAGACAGCATACGGTAAAGAAGAACCCAGTTAGTTACAAACTTCCCAAGATGACCTGAGTGATAGTGTGGCACGTTCCGCATGCGTTTCGCACCTTCGAAGTTTGAAACGTCGCTACAGGACTGGGTCAATACAACCCATGACGTGTTCCCAACTGTACTCACAGACCTCCGGTTGCGTAAGGGTTTACAACAATCAAAGTAGACCGTTCGTCACCAGTAGCGGAGACCGTCAAGGATGCCGTCTTTCGCCGTTCCTATTCAATTTCGTCGTAGATGAAATACTGGAGAGCACACTAAGGGGACACCAAACCGTAGGTATTGAATGGGCAGCTGGAGAAAAGCTGTGCGATTTAGAGTACGCTAATGACATCATCTGTCTGTTCGAATGTATGGAGGACACGCAAAGCGCACTTGATAGACTAACAAGTGCAGTAGCCACTTTCGGTATGTGTTTTGCACCTTCAAAGTGCAAAGTGATGCTGCAGGACTGGGTTTCCTATACTCCCGCTCTGAAGCTAAATGGTTAGGATTTAGTCGT